GTGGGTTAGTGTACTTATGGCCAAGCTTGATGACCTGAGTTCAATCCCTGGGATTCACATGGTGAAAGAAAAGAACCAATTCCTGCAAGTTGTCCTCTGACATGTGTGCCAAGGCACACGCCGCCCCAAGAATTTTTAACATTTTATTTTGTGGTAGTTATGCCCATTAATACTTCTTGTATTAGAAATTATAAGTGGGAAATTTAACTATTAATTTAATTAAAATATAACAAGTCTAATACATGTTAAACTAAATTACATTTATGAATATTAGTATGTTTTTCAAAACTAAGTAAAATCAGTGAGAATAAAAGCACTGTTTTAAAATTTTGCAGTTTTATTGAAAGCAGTAGGACCCTTGTATGTGTTCTGGCATTCAATTTCTAATTGTCCTTTGGTTGTAGTATAGGAAGAAATTCTAGCCTCATGTGAATATGTAGTTAGATGGAGAAATAGTTCAATATATTTTTCAGATAATTTTGGATATTCTTTGGTATTACATTAAAATTTGAAAGTGCAAGTTTCTCTTAGAGCGATGGGGAATAAGAATCCATATTGATAAACTTTTAAGGTTCAGTTGTATTGAAATCATTGGTCAGCTCAATATTAATGGATTTTTCCAGGCATATTTAATATCATCTTGTATTGATCATTTGACAAGTATTGACTTGCTGAGTTATGAAACTCTTCCAGATGGTGACAGATTTCATCATAAAAGATTTGAAAATCGTATTAGTTAACATTACCACTGGCCTCATCAGAAAAGTCACAGAATATTGGGAGGCTCTCAAACTCATGATGGCAGATGTAAGTGTTCCAAAAGTCTAATTTACACTTGAAAGTTCAAATTTGTCACTAGCAAGGAATACTGTTAGTTGTTATCCTTATAATAACTGGCTCACTTATTTTTGAATAAATTTCTACCAAATAATGTGAATGTTAAGTGTATGTGTTATTTTTCTATACTGTTATAAAATAGCTAAAAGAGCTGGGCGCAGTCGCGCACGCCTGTAGTCCCAGCACTTGGGAGGCAGAGGCAGGCGGATCTCTGTGAGCTCAAGGCCAGCCTGGTCTACATAGTGAGTTCCAGGACAGCTGGGGCTACAGGGAGACCCTGTCTCAAAAAGATTTAAAAAAAATAGCTAAAAGAAGAATTTAAAGGAGAAATAAATTATTTTGGCTCATTGAGAACATATACTCCATCACAGTGGGGAAGGTATGGTGTAGTTCATGGTGGTGGGAACAAAGGGTTGGAAAGTCTCACATTTTGTGTAAACAAAGAAACAGAGACTTGAGCCAGAATCAGGAAGGACTATAACTCATAAGCTGTGGCCCTTGGGCCTTATGTCTGCCAGCTATGCCCCGTGCAAAAGAGTCCACAGTTTACCAAAACAGCACCACTGGGGATCAAGTATTCAAACACATGAGCCTGAGGGGGTCTTTTTATGTCCAAATAATAACACTCTCTGAATGATATCAATGATCTAAATTGTTTCAGCTATCACCCATAAACTAATGATTCTTCCAAATCTATACCTTCAGTGACCTACAGACCCATATTGCTGATAACATGCACACACACACACACACACACACACACACACACACACACACACACACACATATCCAAGTTAACATACCTTAAACATAATTCAACTTTTCTACCAAATTTTTTTTTATTGATCCTCTTCCTCAACTTCAATTCTCCAATGCCCCTGCACTCCTCCTGCTAATCCTCTCCACCCCCACCATCTTCCATGTCACAAGTATTCTGTTACTCTTTATCTCCCATCCCCACTCTTTTCCAGCTGTGTATATTTACCATATTTTTCACTATCCATTAATCTGTTTACAGACATTTAGGCTGATTCCACATCTTAGCTATTATGAATATAGTACAACAGGAAACATGCATGTGCAGTTATCTCCATGGTAGAACCTGGAATCCATTGACTATATAACCAGAAGTGACATAGCTGCGTCACATGGCAGCTGTTTTTTCTTTCCTGTTCTCTCTCTCCCTCTCTCTCTCTCTATCTCTCTCTCTATCTCTCTCTCTCTGTCTCTCTCTCTCTCCTCTCTCTCTCTCCTCTTTAATCCTCTTCCATTTTTTTAGACATGCTCTCATGTATACCAGGCAGGTGAACTTCTGATATTCTTGCCTCCATTCCAGGAGTGTTGGGACTACAGGTTTACACCCCCAAACCTGGTTTTAAGCAGTGCTACAGTCTGAACCCAAGGTTTTATACAGGTTAGGAAAGGACTCTACCAACTGAACTGCATCCCCAGCCCATCATTTGTTTTCTTGATGATAGCCATACTGTTTTTAAGAGTCATTCTTAATTCTTTCTTCTCCCATCATGGGTGGTTTGAATGAGGTGAACCCCACAGGCTCAACTACTTTAACCCTGGGACCCCAGTTCATGGTGCTATTTGAAGAGGGTCATGGAACCCTTAGGAGATGTGGCCATGTTGGAGAAAACATGTGACTGGGGTGAGCTTTGAGAGTTCATAAGACTCATTCCCACTGCCAATTCCTCTATACTTCCTGTGCCTGCTAGAAGATGTGAGTATTCAGCTTTCTGCTCCTGCCATCTCTGCCATCATGCCTCCCCTGCCATAATGGACCATGGTGTTTTATCACAGCAACAGAAAAGTAACTAATACACTCCCTCACAAAAGGACAAGCCAGGTATAGTAAATTTTCTTTTTTTTCTTTGATTTATTCATTTATTTCTATGGAGCTTTTGGCTACTCTAACATTCCTCCCTCTGGAGAGGTATCCCTAAAATCTTTTAAGGATTAGAAACAAGCTCCCAAATACTTTTGACATTTTTGGCCTTTGGAACAGAGTATGTTGCTAAGAGGCCCAAGGACATTTTGGCTTTCAGCCAAGAAACAGGCTACTTTCCTTTGGGGTCTTTTTACCCTAACTGCCTAGCCAATTCCTACCTCCTGTTCTTATCAGGGAATCTAGGTTAAACTGGAGAAAACACATTACACCTTACACTATTAAAATTTAAGCACTGTAGGCCAAACCAAACCAAATATATATGCTGGTTTACCATATGACTTTGAACCTGTCTTTTCATTTCTAATGCCACCCTTTTAACTGAGATCCTGTAACACCTTTTACATGGACTACTTCAAAGAGACTTATAACTGATCTTTTGGGCTCCAATTTTCAAAATCTTTTTCCCTTTTTTCTCTAGCCACATCTTACTTTACAGCAGGCAAAAAGAATGGTCTTCCTAATGGTCACATATTTCAAATGCTGATTAAAACTCCATAATAGTTCTCTGGCACCTACAAGAAAAACATGCACATCCTTCTCACAGTACAAACATGTAATTTACCCCTATTGAACACTTACTACTTGAACTTGGTTTCTCTCCATTTTCTAACCATATGACAAATAATAGCAAACAAAGTTATAAGAGCTAAGA